TACATTTTATACGTTGGACACTAATCGTGATATTTCAGTGGTTAGGGTTTAGTTCGTGCATCAACTTTAATTCATAAACAACGTTCTCTAAAATTTTACGGTGTGTACACCTTGCCAGGTTTAACGATGAAGGTTTTGTCTGACTAGAGCGCAAAGGGGATTGACTGTAATGAGTCTAAAGCATTCTTGCTCTACTTTGTCTACCAAGCTAAATAAGACGATTGAAATTAGATTCTCGTTTCTCTATTAAAGTTGTTGTTTTAATTTTCATTCAAATTTCTCTTGAAGATGTCTATCTTGGCAAAGCTTTGTTTCCTGGTGTTGTTAACTGGCATTGTTCTGGGTAATAAATCACCTGAGGACTTTGTGGAAGATAAGATTTTTTTGTTCAAATAAATACATATTAGCGTTGCTCCCGAGCGCACCGAAGGCGCGCGCTAGCGGAGCATCCACAGCTATAGAAATTAGTAAGCCCATCAAGCCGAGAAAATTTGGTTATGACGTCATGTCTGTCCATACGTCCGTACGCCCGTACGCACGGATTAGGCCTGGGGACGAGTTTGCCTTTGTCCTTGATTTGGAGTCCTTCTTACGCAAAGGGTCAGGAAAAAACATTTTCGGTTCGTTTAGAGTAAAATAAAGTTGAGAGGTTTTTTTTCACACGTTGAAAACTGATCTGGACATTTCATTTCAACTTAAACGAATCGATTGCATGAAAAGGCGGCAAAATCGTTGCATGTTGTTCACATTTTAAGTTGAATGAAAGACGTGAAGAAAGCGTGCTGGAGGACATAGATCTTCGTGAATATTTCTCGCTTTATTTGCTTATCTACAACATGGGAACTTATGCCAAGTGATTTGGGATAACTTCTTAACGGGAAGATTCGAGATAATTGCCGACCTGAACATGTACAAGTCAAAAACAGCGAGGGTTGAAGCACTGTTTACAGTTTACCGTTCCTGTGGCTGACGAAGGCCGGAAAATTAATTGAGCTGAAATAAAAGTGAGCTCAGAGCCGGTCAAGTTCACTGAAGAGATGGATAAAAGACTGTTAAANCAAAGGGGATTGACTGTAATGAGTCTAAAGCATTCTTGCTCTACTTTGTCTACCAAGCTAAATAAGACGATTGAAATTAGATTCTCGTTTCTCTATTAAAGTTGTTGTTTTAATTTTCATACAAATTTCTCTTGAAGATGTCTATCTTGGCAAAGCTTTGTTTCCTGGTGTTGTTAACTGGCATTGTTCTGGGTAATAAATCACCTGAGGACTTTGTGGAAGGTAAGATTTTTTTGTTCTAATAAATACATATTAGCGTTGCGCACCGAAGGCGCGCGCTAGCGGAGCATCCATAGCTATAGAAATTAGTAAGCCCATCAAGCCGAGAAAATTTCGTTATGACGTCATGTCTGTCCGTACGCCCGCACGCCCGTACGCACGGATTACGCCTGGGGACGAGTTTGCCTTTGTCCTTGATTTGGAGTCCTTCTTACGCAAAAGGTCAGGAAAAAACATTTTCGGTTCGTTTAGAGTTAACTAAAGTTACTTGAGAGGTTTTTTTCTCACGTTGAAAAACTGATCTGGACATTTCATTTCAACTTAAACGAATCGATTGTATGAAAAGGCGGCAAAATCGTTGCATGTTGTTCACATTTTAAGTTGAATGAAAGACGTGAAGAAAGCGTGCTGGAGGACATAGATCTTCGTGAATATTTCTCGCTTTATTTGCTTATCTACAACATGGGAACTTATGCCAAGTGATTTGGGATAACTTCTTAACGGGAAGATTCGAGATAATTGCCGACCTGAACATGTACAAGTCAAAAACAGCGAGGGTTGAAGCACTGTTTACAGTTTACCGTTCCTGTGGCTGACGAAGGCCGGAAAATTAATTGAGCTGAAATAAAAGTGAGCTCAGAGCCGGTCAAGTTCACTGAAGAGATGGATAAAAGACTGTTAAA